GTGCTCAGATTGCACCGCCATCAGCTGTATAAAAAAAATAAAATAAAAAAATAAAATAAAAAAATAAATAAATAAATAAATAAATATTATAAAATAATAAGTTAATGATGTATAATAAAAAATAAATAAATGTAGGGTAAACATGCAATTAATAATATTAATAATAATAAATAATACACAGAAAAAATAAATGTAATACATTATATATTTATAATTAATAATAATAAATAGTAAACAAATAAAATAAATAAATAAAATAAATAATATAGAATCATAATTAAAATAATAAATATTAAACAAATAAAATAAGTAAAAATAAATAACAACAAACAATAAGAATAAGTAATGATAGACGACGAACAAATACAAATAAATAATAAATATTAAATATTAAATAATTTTAATATATAAAAAAAATAAAACACAAATAAAATAAATAAAAATAATAAACAATAAATAATTATAGTAAATAATAAATAACAATAATAAACAACAAACAACAAACGATAAATATAAAAGCATAAGTATAAACGTAAATATAAATATAACTACAAATACGAATATAAATAAATAAATAAACATTTTTACTTCTGTCTGTATTTGTTCTGGTGCGAGAAGAGGGTTAAAGATATGATCAAGGGTTTAGGGTTTAGGGTTTAGGGTTTACTATAAATACAGATACAAATACAGAAATAAATACAGCTACAAATACAAACATAAATAAATAAATAAATAAATAAATAAATAAATAAATAAACATTCTTACTTCTGTTTGTATTTGTTCTGGTGCGAGAAGAGGGTTAAAGATATGATCAAGGAAGTGTACGAATAGGTCTTTCAGGTGTATAGACGGTGCGGAGACAAAGAAGGTGGTGGTATCTGGTTTAGTATATGCATTATGTATCCCCCCTTTATTATTTATATAAAACTCCCATTCTTTTTTTTGTTTTTGTTTCTTACTACCGAGAAATATCGCATGCTCTAGTGCATGCGCCAGGCCCGGGAGACGACGGGGATCGTTGTAGTACCCGCACCCCACAGACACCGCAAACGCCCCTGTCTCCTGTGTGGGGTCAGCAGCAACAAACCCCTTCATCTTTATATCCTCAATACTAAACGCAGCGTATTGGGATCGATCCAGGGGTGGCTTCAACACCTTCATCTCCTCCTCTGCTGCTGCTGCACCTGCTGCTGCTGCTGCTGCTCCTCCTGCTG